GGTGCCCTCCTGCCGGGGAAGGTGTGTGTAGGTGTGTGGTGAGGGGTAGCCGCGGAGCCCCTTGCGCCCGCCTGCCCTGATGCCGGGCCCGGCGCTGCCTGACCCGCCTTCCATGGGCGCTGTTGTTGCTTCTGCAGATGAAAGAAACAATCATGAACCAAGAAAAGCTCGCCAAGCTACAGGCACAAGTGCGCATCGGTGGCAAGGTAGGAGCCGCCTCCCCACCCTGCCCTCGGGACTGCGTGTCCGTGCACGCACACCAACCTAGCGCGAGGGGTCCTGAAAGCGGGGTTGGGGACCAGCCCTAAGTACTCTCAGCTTGTCGTGGCTGTCCTCAGGGGAAGCTGTGCTGCTGCAGGGATCTCTAGAGTCGGTTCAGTAGAAGCAGTATGTAGTTGCTGAACCTCCAGCGTTTTCTGTTTGGGTTTGTTACAATATATTACAGCAAACTTGCTGCCTATATTCTTGTATGGCCTGTTTTAGAAGTCATGTAGGATTTGAAGTGAGTAGACCTTACAGCAAGTGAGCTTGGGTATAGTTTTCATAACAGATTATAGAGGGTTATGTTCCAAACTCTTGTCACAAATCTTTAAGATGCCCATAGCTGGGTTTTTTTGCCTTTTAGGACAAAACTGGAATTATTTACTTGTCATACTCTTGTAATTGTAGAGTAATATGCTCAGAAAACCTTTTTATTTTATTACAACATCTGAATATATGTGGCTGTGTGATTACTTATAATCTGAAAATGAAAAAGTATGTCGAATATAGTTGTATGCTGGTAAACATTTTAATTACGGTGTCAGTTTTAAGGCAAGAATTTGTTAGTGATTTTTTTATGCTTGAGGAAGTGTATACACAGTATTTTAGAATACAGACTATTCAACAGAACTTTTGCTGACAGTTTCCAGGAGCTTTAATTTCTGTGCTGAATGTTTTTTTGCCTTTAGCTGGAAATTTAGGCAGCCTTAAATCAGGGCTAATGTAGTAATTAACTGGCTTGGTGATTTTGCATGTTCTTTGTATGGGTTACTAGTTAAGCAGAGAACTGCTGTGTTATATTGATGATTGTGTGAATGTTACCAGTGTGTCTGTATTGACTATGGAGGCTTTTAATGTTTGTCACCTAAGAGCATACATTCAGATTACAGCTCTTGCAGCTCTCTGGTCAATATGGGTCTTTTAGAGACATTAAGCAAAGCTTAGAATATGCTGGTGTTGCTGGCATTGAGTTTTAAAATCGGCCTGTGAAATACTTCGAATGCCTGAACTTGACTTTTAAAATTTGTTTTATAACTGGAAGTTGTTACTGGGGTTCTTCATGGCATTGTCACCGTATAAGTTCAGATGCGTGTGGAGGAGGCAAAGGGGGAAGAGTCACTTCTCCACGTGAGAAAGGGCTGCACATTGCCTCTGCTGGAAGATTTTCACAATATTGCAAGGCTGCAGATCTTACAAATAAGCTAAATGCTATGTTTAGATGGAGAGCTATTGTAGTACTTTGTTATGTGAAATTTGAGACTTTTGTGTAGAATATTGCTACAGCTAAACGTCATGCCTCCTCTTCCAAACCTTTTTAGAGGTGTGGCAAATGAGTCTGTAGTAGTCCGTTGGTGGCCTGCCGTACCCACTCCCCTTTCATATAGAGGTAGAGGGGTGTGAACAGCATGTCTCAGCATGATCAGGATAGAAGTTGCTTAGTAAAAATCTGTAATCTTTAGAACCTTAAATCAGTGGAGATGAAAGCAACAGCTGCTCATTTAAATTAAACTCTGGTGTGAAGTTTGAAATCTGTGTTTAATGTGGGTAGAAAGAAGGTACATGTTCCTACATAGCCTTTGATTCAAGACATTATTTTTTGAAATTTATTGAAAGGTCTTTTGTCTGGAGGGACTTAATGTATGCCTTATGTAGCTCAATTCCTAGGTGGTCAAATGGCTTTACTACAATGAAGCCATTTCTATTATATTAGTAGTTTTCAAATCTCTCTGTGCGCTAACCTGGCAGTAGCAGGGAATTAATATCAAGCTTTCTAAACAAATGACTAAACTTTTGAGCTGTAGTCTTCCACGTGTTTGTTTCATGTGAATTTGGCATTAACATTCCTCACTGTTTGTAACTGGATTGTGTTAGAAGTGTTAATGTCCAGCCAGTTTTCTAACTTCGACCAGTTAACTCAAAAGGTATTGCAGCCATTTATACAGCTAGGCAGCACCACGTTCTCTTATTGCTAGCATGTGGCAGATGGGCAACTGGAGTGGGAGGTCTTAGATCACTAGTTACAGTGTGTCAAAAAGGAGCTTAGTTTCACCTGTTCGTGGACATTTTTTAGTGAAGCCTGACGATTGTGCAAGGAAGTACAGAATGACACTTTCTGCTTTTGCGTAAGTGTAGATATCTTCTAATAGGGGATAGTTATTTCCCTGGATAAATCTAGAGCTCTGTGTGTGTTGATAACTTTATGGCTTCTGACTATTATAAAAAAATGGCTACAATTTAAGAAAGATGATCTAAGGAAAAATTCATAAGCATCAGAAATTACATAAAACTGTGCTCATTCTTCAGTTTTATGGCTATGATAACAGATAAGGGTAAATTTGCAATTTTTCTTTTCTAAGATGCTGCAGAATCCGTTTAATAATTGTGGAGTAAACGTTCTCTGGTGCATTGCTTCCTAAAACCTCACGCTTCTCACAAGCATGCAAAGCTTGCCTTATAGCAAGGGAAAGACTGCTGCAGTGCAGTTGGAGAGGTGGGGTTGTGTGCGCTGTGACACAGAAGTAGAACTTTGTATGTTAAGTTGATTTGTAGATGACTGCAGAAGTATTAACTTGTAAATTTTTTTTTTTGCAAAGGGTACTGCCCGCAGAAAGAAGAAGGTTGTCCACAGAACAGCTACAGCAGATGACAAGAAACTTCAGTTTTCTTTGAAGAAACTGGGAGTCAACAATATTTCTGGAATTGAAGAGGTAATTGCTTCAAAGGAAAAAATACTTTTCTATATAGAAGTATAAAATGTATCAAAATCAGTTTCCTGGTAAGTAATGTCCTAAACTTGTCTGTAAATTATCAGTAGGTCTTTATTAATCTTAATTGAAGTCCTTAAGAACTTCAGTTTCCTGTTAAGTTGAAAAATCTTGCTAAACTCCTTCAAATACTGAATTTTTTTCTTGCAGGTAAACATGTTTACCAACCAAGGAACAGTCATTCACTTCAATAACCCTAAAGTTCAGGCATCTCTGGCTGCTAACACTTTCACTATCACTGGCCATGCTGAGACAAAGCAGCTGACAGAAATGCTTCCTAGCATCTTAAATCAGCTTGGAGCTGACAGTCTGACCAGCCTGAGGAGATTGGCAGAAGCTCTACCCAAGCAACGTAAGTTGAAATGTGAATGCATTTCATGCTGGCAGCTGACATGAGGCTTACTTGTATAGCAGCAGTGAAATTCAGTGCACTCTTGCTGTCTGCAAGCGTATTATAAAATGCTTATAAAGAAATGAAACTCTTAGATCTTATTTATAACTCAAATCCAATGATGAATATAACTGAATAAAGCAGAGGCACCTGTCAGCATATATTGCAGCTGGTCTAGGACTGGAAAGCTGTAGCCAGACTTAGTTTCATGGTAGTCTACTTCTTGATGTGGCTACCATATTTTTACATACCTCGTTCATTAAAGCTAGGTAGGTGAGTTACTCTGGAAGAGTTAGGTTTTAAAAAAAGAAACTCTGTCTGTTTTGACGCTTTGAATGGAAACATAAGTAATGCAGAAAGAGGTTTGAGGACAGTCATCTTGCAGCGGCTTTGCTGCCTCATAGGTGTGGTAAAGGTATTTCTTGCACGGGATTTTTGATAGATAGGAGAGAATTACACAGTATTTGTAACGAAATATGTTGGAATTTCCGTGTGTGTAGAACAGTGTAGAGAACAGGACTAGCATGAGCATTAAGCTAGATACACCAAGTTCCTATTTCATCCTTAAATTGGTAAAAGAACATGAACACTTGTTCTTCCTAAAACTGTGTAGGAAAAGTAGAGGAGGGACTTAAGTATGTGGTGTTTGGAAAAGGTGCTGCCACTACAGGATGAGAATTGGGAGTGAAAGGCAGGCTTGTTGACACTGGGAACATTCCTCGTGTCCTGCATGTACAGTCTTCATATTTTTCTGAAATATCTTAAGGCCATTCCTTACAAGGTACGGAACATCCTAAATACAGAAAAATGGGAGAAGCATATTATTGTGTTCAGTTTCTGGTAGTTCTGAACTTGTTACATTTTTTTTCTTCCTGTGCTTTGCTGTCAACAAGACAGCCTCTATTTCCATTCCTAAAGTTGATCATACTTCCTTTCTGTCAACTTCCCACTGAAAAAATCCTGCTAGAAGTAGTCTTCAGGAGGTGGGGTAAACTGCTGCTTTCCCCATGCAACTCAGGTCCTTCCTTCCTAGTGTCAGCTCTCTGGCTTCCTTGTGGTAGTAGTAGGGCTTGAAAGAAAAAAAAACTTGAAGGATTTAACATGATCCCCTAAGATCTCTCTTCTTATAAGAAGATGGGTATATTCTGGATAAGTTTTAGTTTTAGGGAAGCTTGTTTAAAGTGCTTGCTGTGTGTGACCTAGTAAATGGCTGTTCCTTTCCACTTTGGGTGGATGCCAGAGTAGTTGCACAAAACTTTCCATTCAGCATTGTCTGCTAGATTTGGAATTCTGACATCGAAGAGTGAAGTGTCTGTGATGACTGCATTTGCAGGTGCTAAAGTAAGCTTGATCTGGTCTTGGGGATGAGAGAGAATGCAGACAATTTAGGAGGAAATAACATGGTTTGCTTTTAAAATGTCATATTTGATGCTAAGATGCACTTAAGCTGTAACAGCTTGATGCTGTTAAAAAACAAAAGGAGAGTTAGTGGTGACCTTGTCCGAAGCCTTTTCAGACCAAAGTTTATGTGTTCATCTGTTTCGGTTCTTTACAAATCAGGGTACAGGTCTAGTATGAACCCATCTCTTTCCTCATGCCTTTCTTGAAAACTGAGAAGGATTAATTAGGATAAAACTGAGGTGATAGAGAGTATGAGACAGCTTACCCTTGGTAGTACAGCTAAGAATAGCAGTAAAAGTAGTGGCACAGGGACCTGAGTTGTTTATTCTTAGCATTATACTGTTGCAGTTTCACAGATGTTCATTGGTCTGCTACAGTGGACATCGTGAAGTCTCACTAGCTCTGGCTAATACAATGGGAATGGATAAGAAATTACTGAGTCAGCAGAGATGTGGACCAGATGTGGATGGTTATCTCAACCACCTAAGTGTAAAACTCTGCATCCAGTTCCTTATGCCTCTGACTTTGCCAGGGAACAATAATATCTTTAAGTGCCTTCAGTCATGTGTGTCTGCCTGCAGCTTCACAATTACACCTTAGTTTTCATTGAAGGCCTAGGATCATAAGATCCTTTCTTTTCCTTAAATCTTGCTGATGTAAAATACATAAACCTCGAGAAACACTGAGTAGTCAATAAACGAAGCTGCTTTTAAGGGAAATTGGTAAAATCAGTCCCTGCACTTGTAGCTGAAAATTATTGCTGCGCAAGGCACTCAGTATACCTAGATACAAGGTGGTGACTAGTAAGCTGGTTTAGCATGCATCTTCTCATTTCCCTGCTGGGCTGTTTGAGCATTATCAGTAACAAAAGGAACGTGAACTTCCTTGGTTAGTTGGAGATTTTTATTCAGCAGGGGAACTGGGTAAAGCATTGCAGTTTAGCTCAGACTGATAATGTTTTCAGAAAACACAAAGCAAAACAACTAATCGAAATGCCTGTGGTGAGCTTGACTGATGCTTTTGAACTACTTGCTCTTGTAGCTGTGGATGGAAAAGCACCACTTGCTACTGGTGAAGATGATGATGATGAAGTTCCAGGTAAGAACAAGCATGGAGTGGAGGAAAAGGAAGTGAATTTTGCTGAGAGATAATATGTAGCATAAGATTGGGCCAAGGTGGTAAGAGTATTGACTAGTCACTGCTGTCACAGAATTTCTGTGGGCAGGTTATTTCATTTTTTTTCAGACGCCGTGAGAGATTTAGATGGACTGTTGGCTTGAGCTAGCATTTTTGTCTTGTGTAGAAGTAATAGCTATGGCTAAGATAATTATTTAATATTCAATAAGAAGGGTGGGAAGAAACTACCTTCTCAGTATCACTTTGCCCTGTTGTGGGTATAGGGAACTTAAATGCTCTTAAAATTGTGCTTTGTAATGAACCATCTTAAACTTACTTGGTTGAGCAAGAAGAATGAACCATGAACCTCTTAAGAGTTATTTGGTCTGTATTTTATAAGCTGAAAGTTTTTTACGTTACAAGCACTTGATAGGAAGTAGAACTTTGGGGAAAAAAAACCAAGATGTTTGGCAAAGCGGAAGTGGGTCAAACTTTAATTTCAACATTCTTCTTTGTCTAGATCTTGTTGAAAACTTCGATGAAGCTTCAAAGAATGAGGCAAACTGAACTGAGTGTCACTTTCTGAATAAAGTTAAAACTTGAAAAAGCTACATGGAGCTGCTATTTTATATTGTGACTGCTTTGATTTTATTTTTATTTCCTGATGAGATCTCAAGATCTGTGATATTTGGAAACTCCTTGAACCTGCAGCTCTTTAGTTACTGCTTGTACACAATATTATTTTTGTGGCCTGATTGAACAAACCTATGCTTTGAAATAAGTCAGATTGCTAACGAATGTCTGCCTAGACAGAATTTTTGAGTAACTTGTATACAAGCAAAACCCCATCTTTAATGAACTTTGGCATACAATAAAAATATAAAATAAACTTGCTGGTGTGGCTTCTTGTCAGAAAAGCAGGGAAAAAAAATTGGCCGTAAATACTAAACAATCATAAAAGGTCTTGCTTTTCTGCAGAGCTTCTTCCTTTTGCTGTGTTAGAAAACTGGCTTCTAAAAAACTCTTTCTGTGCATAATGGAGCATTTTAGACTTAATCACACTGGTGAATTGCCAGTGTTTCCAGGTCAGAGCTACATATGCTCTAAGTCACTTTGTAATCTGAATTTAAGAAATAGATATGTATTGTAGAAATAATTATTGGTGGTTTAATATAACATAAAATGTGCAAGTTGAGAGAGGACTTGGCTTGGCCTTGAAGAACAGTGGCAAGCTGTTGGCATCTTGGGGGAACTAGATACTAATGTTAAATTTTTATCTTCAGGGGTGTTTAATAGATATTTCCAGGGTGTAACTATTTAATGAGTCAAATAATACTTTCCCAGTATTTTAATTTTACTTCTCTGAAAATGTCAATTATGTGGGGGAATGAAGTATAGGAAGGGGAAAAAGCCTTAACAGAATTGGTAATGGCTTTTAATTAAGTCTCTATTTAGCATCTTCAGATCTATTAACTAATAATTATATTTGGATGTTTCAGGAATATGTTCTTTCTATTGGTTTTGTGTGTTCCAGAGAAAAAGAGAACTTGGTTTCTGGGCACAAGGAAGACTTCTTAAATTCCAGTCTGACCTTTGCATAGCTGGAGCCTCCAGGGGTGAGGGCTAAACTTGATGTTCAGGAGTCTTTGGTGTTAATGATGGATCAGATTGCTTGCATAACAGAAGCTAAGCTAGGATAGAAGAGCACTCAACTACCAGCCTTCTAAGGTTGTCTCGAGAGCAAATACTTCTGAACGTGGAAATCCATCCTGACTTGTGCAGGATAAAATTCAGGGTAAAACTTTGCTGTAGCCATAATGTAAGTTCTCCTTGTGCCTGGGAAAAGGTGGGGCTGTGTCTGACTTGCCAAGCATGTTTGTCATGGTGTAAGTCATTGCTGTTGGGAAACAGTGGAGAAACTTGTTCAAGCCATGCAACTCCTGTGGTTTGAGGTAAGACAGCAGTCTGATGTGAGCATGACATGGCTGAAGTCAGGTGCAAGAACTTACAGTAACAATTTCAGTTTACATGTCTCAGTTTGCAAGTACTTTGTCAGTAAATTACACTTCTAACGTTGAATTAATTCAAATAAAGTGCTTTCATTGAATTGTGGCAATAAGGTAGAAAAACTAAACTATGCAAATTTGAGTTTTGAAATGAGGATGGTGACTTTAAGCAATTACCCTGTAAAAGGTGAAAACCAAATTCTACAGAGTTGTTTACCACACTTCCTGTGACCTGTCAAGTCAATAAATGCCTGCTGATTTTTTTGAGAAATCAATCAATGTGTTGCCCATTCTGTGATTCAAATATGTAAGTCCTTGGAAGTATTTCCATTAAGCCACTGTAGCCCTTGCTCATGAAATGTTTCTGTCTCATGAGGTGACTTAGTGTCTTGCTTAGATGATCTAGACAGTGTTAGCCTCTTCCCCACTAACAGACATACCTGGTGCTTAAAAAATAAGATTCTTGCTAAAGCAGTATCTTTGAAATGCAAAATAATGCTAATCTGGTGATAAGCAGCCATGTGACATGTCTGTGGCAGTCTACGTGCTAGGACAAGCTCCCAGTCAGGAAACACTGGCATATCTCTGCATTCCCAAACTGTGACTGAGGATCAAGATAGGATCAAAATGTGTTCTTGATTATAGCAGATTCTAAATGGAAATAGTTCACTTGTTGGAAGTTTATAGTAGTCTTCATGTCTGACACTTAAATGCTCAGTCCTGGACTCAACGCTGTGATTATTTTCTCTTAGTAAGGAGTTTGCTTATGGTCTTCCTACTCTGTCATTAACTGCTAGAAGCTGAAAATAGTTGTGTTGATGTTTCTCATTAGCTTGAACTTCTATGTAACCATACTGTAATTATGCCATTACGGATTCACATCTGTAGTCTTGCTCAAGGAAAATGGCTTCGTATCTCCATTCCAAATACCTTGGACAATGGAGAAACGAAAACAGATGCCTGCATTTCTATTGAAACAAAGGTTTGTTTGAGCTTTTTATTTTTAAAAAGCTAAGGGAATGTTCTGGTTCTGTCACATCAAGCTTTGTAACAGCTTGACTCCAATACAGTAGTGGGTATTGGTGAGATACTTTTCATCATTTTTGCAACAGATTTTTTGAAGTATCTTCATAATTATTAATCTCATGCTTTAAGGGCTTTGTTCTGGTTTAAAATTAGTATATTCTAATAATAAAACAATTAAAATCCTGTTGGAACGTGGTGAAACTGTATTTTATTAGGCTAGTGTTTGTGTGCATATATAAAAATAAGCTCCCCACTATGGTTTTAAAATAACATTGTTTTTAAAGCTCTAGAAGGTGTCTTGAATTATTACAGATAGGATTTTTTACTGGAAGTGTTGTGAGTTTGAGGTTGTCTCTCTTAGGAAATGTTCCCAGTGAGAATTCCTCATAATTAGTAGTGCATATTTAACATATATTTTGTGCTAATAATGTGTTTTGTGTGTGGAAAATCATATAGACATTTCACTTCCCCTAAAGTGGTTTCATGTATCTCTGCTGAAAACTTAAATGTCACATTATGGTACCGACAGAGTGACAAAGGACACTTGAAATAAAAGAGAATAGCTTGTATTTATTGTCCGAGGCAATGGAAGAATTAAAAGAAAAACAAGATGTGATCAGAACAGTGGCTAGGAAAAAAGCTAACCACTTGGCTTGTGTGGGAATGGTACAGGTGGTGGGAGGTGAGTTGGGGAAGTGAGTATTTTCTGAGGGAGGTGGGGCAGTGGCTGAGAAGCCGGAACATGAAACGTGGTTGATCGTCCTGTTTGTGAGAATGGATTCGAACAAGTTACAAAACTGGAGAGTTAATATTCTGCACAGATAGGAAAGCCTACAGGGAAGTCTGTGTTGATGATGACTAGATTACAACCTTAAGAGACTGGCAAAATGGTGGTATATGTAAAGAAGAGAGACTTTAAAACTAGGTATTTTAAAATATTAACAAGCACTCTACATGTCTTGTGCTTATATAAATACATGCAATGTGGCTCCTGATTTTTCTAAGCTATTCTTTGTTCCTTTTCATATCTATAGTTTCAGCCGCATCCAGTAATTTGTGAGCAATTGCTGAAAATGTTTTCCATTGGATGTGGTAGTTGAAAGATCCTGACCTGCAACAGAGACTGGACTCTGGGAGGAAGTCTCTTTTACAGAAAAGGAGCTGACAGTGCGGCTGAGCCAAGCTTACTTATCTAAGGTGAACAGTCTGTAGCATGAGGGACTATCATGATTAGCTTGACTGTGAGTTAAACTCAATAACTTTAAAGATGGATAAAAAGTGGATGCATCTAGAAGCTCTGAGAAGCCGGAGTATAACTATTTTTGTGTATTCTAATCAACTTTAGCTGTGGTTTCTTGGTAGCATAGGCTACTTGCAGTCTCATCATGAAAGTCTTTAATTGCTCTGTTAATATTCTGCCTTCATGCATAGATTATTGTTAGAGAATAATGTTACTGAATAGAAGGAAGACAGCTCAGGTAATACTGTTACTGTACTGTCTTGCTATAGTCTGTTTTTTTGTGAGAAATAGATTTAACAGATGCAACTTGTGTGTTGCCTTTACATTGCAGTGAAGGTATCCTGGCAATGAAAAAGCTGTTCTAACGGTTGTGTAGTGCAGGGATGAATAATACTTTTACGGATGAGTTACAGTCCAACCTCTTGCATTACTAATGAATCTGAACAAAACATAGGTTAATTAGTGTTGTAATGGTATAAGCACTAATCATTATTTTTATAGTGTATGTCTATTACTTCTTACATAGGCAGAAGGCAGAATTCTAGGACATCTTAACTGCTATTAACATCGTGGGCTGGTTGAAGGTCAGTTTGGTCATGCAACACAGTGCTTTTGCTTTTGATACCCGATAACAAACATTTGCAACACTTTTCTCACACAGTGATTTGATGTGCTATGCAGGATATTGGCAGATAATGGTGGAAGTATCTGCTGCACGTGAAATCCCTGTTCTACATTTCTGTTTATGAGTAGTGGTTTTTGGGGTTTGTTTTTGGGGTACTGGAAAAATAGAGATGTGGGTTGTGCCCTACTCTCCCAGTTTTTAGAAGACACCTGAAGTTGACTTGAATGGGTCTTACTTTCTTTGGTTGGAGACTTCCACAGTTGTTTATGGAGCTGTAACTGAGTTAATAATGTCTAGTGGGCTTTTGCTGGAATCTCAAAAATTTCCTGAGCAGTCTTCTGCATCACAGCCAACATGTAACTTGTGGCAAACGTTTGCACCTGCTTATTATCACTGGGTTTAAAATGTTGCAATAAGATTAAGCAAGATTTGAAGATGTTGGAAGTATCTACTGAAACAGGAACTCTGGGTTTAAGCCACAGGTCCAGGAATTGTGGCTAGTCCTGCTATGCTGTCCTGTTATTTTCACCAACCGCATCAGGCAATTGCAGAGGTAACTGAGTATGGCTTGAGGGTCAGATCTTCTCTCAGCAGTAGCATTTTGTGGGCTGTTGTTTTGCAATGAGTTCCTAATAACTATGCATAAGTAACACTGCCACCTTTAAGGACCCAGCTGAGATCCAGGCAGGCTTTTTGCGCTCTTGGCTTGTGGCTGTGCAGGACAAAGATAATATAAAGATGGCTGTGTAAGCCAAAATCTGTGCTAGATCTGTGACATTAGTGTGTGACATTGACATCTGTGGCATTACACACCTGCTGAGTGTAACTGGCAGTCACAGTAGAATGGTGTTGGTAATGCATGTATGTGGTAATTAAGACCTTCCTTGTCTCTTCAGTATTGTTGCCTCTGCAGGACTAGCAGGAGTTAAAAGCTGTAATGCCTCATCAGAGCCGCTTATGTGAGCAACATGGTTGTGATACACAGTG